TCCAGCTGCAACCCATTACTGGGAAACACCCATACACACTCAATCACACACATACACTACAGCCAATTTAGCTGGAGGAACAAATTGAAGGAGGAAACCGGAGCACCCGGAGGACACCCACGATTACAAGGGGGAATATGCAAACACCACACAGAAACGCCAACTGGCTCAGCCGAGGCTCGAACCAGCGACCTTCTTGCTGTGAGGGGATTGTGCTACCCCCTATGCCACCGTGTTGGCCCTTATGGCCAAATTAGTTCATCCAATCCACTTATAACGCATGTCTTTGGATTTGTTGGGGAAACTGGAGCAACCAGAGGAATCCCATGCGAACACGGGGAGAGCATGCAAACTTCACACAGAAATGAGGTGACAGTGCTAACCACTGAGCCTCCAGTTTTTTTTGCCTTGTTTATTTGTTTTAATTTTTAAAAGTGATTTGGGATCTTTTTTGACCATTTTAAACTGGAATGTACCTGCTATCATTAGAGTAAACGTGTAGTATACTTGGTTTTCTCTGTTCCACTGTTTCTCTTGTAGTTCACAAAGCTTTCAAAGTATACTGAGGCAGATAAGCGTGAACGAATGAGTTTGACACAGTGTGTGCAAAAATGGGCTCCCTAATGACAAAAAAACTTTGTCAAGTAGACAATGCAGACTGTCGCAGAAAGACAACAGCCAAAGTAGACTTTAGGCTTAAAGCAGACAAATCTCCACTGATTACATTCAACTTGATTACCGCCCTAACTTGATCTAAAGTTCAAACAGAACTTATCAAATAAGGCCGATTCTGTGGTCAATCAGTCCAAAAAGTCAGTGTTATCCTCATAACTGAACTGTCCTTAGATAAAACTAAAATGCGCGTTCCCATCAAACATGTGCTTTATAATTGTCTCTAGTTGAACATTTTTTCACAAAAGGGAACATATTTCTGCATAATGTTATATTTAAAGCTATAACAAACAAAAAAAAGTGACTCTCAGTCAATTTTTCAACTGTGAAGACCAAAGTTGTTCAAATCACTAGGGATTAGAAGTCTCACTTAACTAATCCGAATCAAATAATGCCCAACAGTAAGGCCATCACACAAAGAATATCATTCTGATGCAATACCACAGTCGTGGTTGGGGATACTGTTTGCTTAAGCAGCCCTCTCCGCATCTGCATACTGATGATGATTCTTCTTTCTGACAGATTCAAGACAGCCTGCTATCACTGAGGAGATTTCTAAGATTCTCCTTTGAAACTGATGGTTAGCAACTACATCTACTGGTCCTGGTCACAGAAAGCATTTAAAAGATTAGTTCACCCAAAAATGAAAATTATGTTATTAATTGATTATCCCCTTGTTGTTCCAACCCTCTGGGATCTTTGGAATTTTAAGCTAAATAATTTTGTGTACAAAAATAATAACTCTTTTCAACAGATTCTTCTATCATTATATTGTGCGCTTTCATGAGCACTGTGATTGATGTGTGTACCACATGAGACTCTTCAGGCACAATAATTTGTCATATTCACCAAATAATGCACAAACACCCTCTCCTGTTCAGCAAAAAGCAATGATCAGTGTGTGTATATATATATATATATATATATATATATATATATATATATATATATATATATATATATATATATATGTGCTCTCTATGTGTAATCAAGCATTTATTGATAGTCTGTTGCTTGTGTAGTAAAACTTGGAATAAACGTTTTAAAACTACTGTTAAACAATAACACAGACATACAGTGTTTTATATTTCTGTGATGCTAATTTAAAGAATGATCGTATACATTATATTTAGGTATTTATGCGACATATGTTGAGATTTTAAAGACCTTTAAAGGGTCACGGAAACACCAAAACACATTTTTTGAGCTGTTGACAGTCTTATATGTGTCCCACACTGCTAAAAACACTATTAGGACACATATAATTTACTAAAAAGTGCACATTGGTTGTTTTTGCAATATTTAGAGCAAATTCGTACTTTCGGTTAGAAACAAAAAAATTTCGTCACGGCCATGAGATCTTAGCGTGTATTCCAGCATGTAGACTGGACGTCTGTACCTGGGAGATCCTTATTACGTCTCTGAGTGTGTTGCATTCATTCATGAGTAAGACTTGGTTCAAACCAATCAGCGCGCTCTATTGTGTATGCGGTGCAACTTCATTAATATGCATGATAGCTTCCAAGACTGTTTTTAACAGTTACAGTGTTCAGACGGCAGAGACCCCACGTTGTGTTGCCAAGCGGGAGAACATGAATTGTTTGGAGATACGGGTCGTCAGTGTTGCTTTTATAATTTGCTGCAGTGAAGGTTTTGTTTTCATTTTCCCTCTATGAGAGCGCAGCTAGACTCAAGTGTGGATTACAGTGCATGCGAGGCTCGACAACAATACGTGTCTAAAAAAAACTTTTTTCCAGAGAGCTTTTCTCATCTGGAAATGGTGAAATACGGATTTGCCGCTCATCTCCTTTTAATAAAGACGCAGATCCAGTTGGTGTTGGTTGTCCTGTCTCTACAGATTTGCTAAGTGAGCGACCAATGGTCTTTGTTTGTTTACTCAAAGTTAGTTTGTATCGTCAGCAGTACTCTTTCAGTGTTTAAAGACGGACCTTAGTCAAATGATTTCTAAGTTAATAAAGTTTACCGTACTTTAACATCACTACAATATTATGGACTGAAAGATCTGCTGTAAATGCTGCTCTCCCGAGTGTAAACGTGTAAGCACCACAACCAAACTTCGTTGAGGATTTAACACATACAAGAATAACACACACGGCTTTCATACCTAACTTTTGTTTCGGAACGTATCTCGTTTGCTCAGTTAGCGCGGTTCGTTTGGCATATGTGAACAGGGCAATCGCTCTCTGTTCCGCGCCAAAGTAATCGCTCCGAGACCGCCTGAGTGAGGTGGTCTCGGCTCGATTGAAATGAACCCTGGAGCGGTTCGATTGCAGCGAGAAAGCGATCTGATCCGAGCGCGGTTATATCACAGTGTTTTATGGATATGTAATAGGCATACGGCTATAAGAAGAGAGAATTAGGAGTATGGCGCGAAGTTTCGCGAGTCTCCGGATGCCCGCAAACGAGTGATGATCTCCCGGTAATCTCTCGTCTCCCTCCCGGTCCTCAAAAAGGCATCGTCGTGCACCCTTCTCACCCCTCCCCACCGCATCTCTCCTCAGACTCGTCGCGTGCGCGCACCCTGTCAATCCCCACCAAACCACCACCTCTCCTGACAGCTGAGCGGGACGCTGCAAAAAAACCCCGAACACTATGACCAATGTGAGGAGAGTTTACTCACACGTTACTTGTTTTAGCGCTTTTGGTCCGATTAAAAACTTTGAAGTGTGAAAGCGAACCACTCCAAGAGCAAAGAGCAACAATGTAACATTTGTAATCTCTGTTTCGGAACAACTGAATCGATTCACAGGTGTGAAAGCACCCTGAGTTACTAAGAAATGCGGAGGGTTTTTTTCTCTCATTGGCCATGCGGTAACAAACATTGCATGAAAGATGCATGCTTCCAGCAATTCCTCGAATCAAATATCTCGTTTGTCACGAGGGGCATGCATAAAATTCAAGAATGAAAGATCCAAACTGCAGTTAAAGTCCACCATTTAATGATTTGGCAAATAATTTGATTACTGCCCAAACCGACACTTTCATTTTTATGCAAATTTTTATGGACCCTGCCTTTTTTCCTCCTCCGACACTCCCCCCTAAACAGAGCTGGACACGCCCACTTTCCTGACTTTTTCCAAAGTAGAGGTGTTAAAAACCCTGCTGAAACAGGGAGGTTTCATGGCCCTTTAACAGTTCCAATCATGATGCCTACGCAAATCACTATGCCTGGAGTAATAAAACTTCCCTCATTGGTCATCTCAGCTCCTAAGGGTGACATAATAATCATTCTAAAAGCTGGTGGACAAGGCTGCCTCCTGCTCTTCTGTTTCTAGCAACCAGATGTTGCAGGAGAAGATGCTGAGCTAACGGTCTACTCCGACCACAAAATAAACTGTTCCAGGCCCAGTGTGGCCTCGCCTTTCCATTCCTCAGTGACCCTTGGACTCAAACTGGTTCTCTCTCATCAACTAACTTTAGCATCAATATCGACTGAACAAACTGCATCACAACTCTTTTTCGAATGTAGTCTCTTTAACAGATAGATTATTATTATTATCTATAGAAGTATTATGTAAACCAGCGATGCCTAAAGTAGGGCCCGCGGCCCAAAGTTGGCCCATGTAAACAATTGATTTGGCCCACCATCCCACCTAAAAAGAGAGGGAGAATGATGGTTGGGGTGAATTTCCTTTTGGAGTGAGTGTCATTTCGAATTTAACGTAACCTGCGTCTTAGTTTTACACATCTGTGAGCAAATTAAAGTATGATTGACTAGTGTATTCAACATTGAACTTATGTTATAAATAGAATTGTTTATATTTTACTGTAATTAGTTAATTATAAAACATTTAAAATGATTGCATTAATCAATATGATTTAAAACATTTTCTAGTCATTTTTAAATATTAAAGAATAAGTTAGAAAACTACCCATGGTAAATTTAATAGATACGGTTTAGTATATATTGGGCCCATAGCCCTCAATCAATTTTGCTTTTTGACCCTTTATAGGAAAAGGTTGGGCACCCCTGATCTAAACATTTCTACAAAGGTGTTTGAATGATGAAACTTCAGGCTGCTGAATATCAAATACTGCTATAACTTCATGCTGTAAATCTTCACTCTTTACTGAGTGCTGTGATATTATGCAAGATTTTTGCTACATGCTTTCAGTAGTATTGCATTGTAAGAAGTTTCATTTATTAATTTTCTTGTTGGCTTAGTCCCTTTATTAATCCGAGGTCGCCACAGCGGAATGAACCGACGACTTATGCAGCATGTTTTTATGCAGCGGATGCCCTTCCAGCCGCAACCCATCTCTGGAAAACATCCACACACACTCATACACTAAGGACAATTTAGCCTACCCAATTCCCCTGTAACGCATGTCTTTGGACTGTGGGGGAAACCGGAGCACCCGGAGGAAACCCATGCAAACGCAGGGAGAACATGCTAACTCCAGACCGAAACACCAACCGACCCAGCCAAAGCTTGAACCAGCGATCTTCTTGCTGTGAGGCGACAGCACTACCTACTGCGCCCCTGCGTCACCAGGTAATTTCTTTTAACCTGTAAATGAATGTTTTTTAATCAAATAAACACTTGACCCAGAGACATCAAGTCAAAGCATACAGCAGGGCTATTCAATTAGTTCGTCATGGGGGCCAGATCATGAAAAGCATCCCAAATGAGGGGCCGGACAGGTATGACTTGCAATATGAGTGATTTCTTTACATGCAGCATTTTCGTTTCGTGCAACAGAAACGCGACGTTGAGAAGCCTTAAGGATTAAGTATCCAAATGTTTTCGCTGCTTGCGCTACTCGCCGTGGCTCATGCTCTGTGCAGCTTTCAACTGCGGCTCGTGATGTATTGAACAGACACACGTCACTTTATAACTAAAACGGCTGTTTTTCGACTGAACTAAATGTATTTTTGATGTCTTAGTCACACTATTTGGAGGGCCTGAACAAATTGGGTCACGGGCCGCCGATTGAATAGCCCTGGCATACAGCTTATCTAAACCTAATCATTAATTATAACTAATTATGATTACTTTTAAATATTTCTCCTTGAGCTAATTTGCTACATGTGTACCCCCTGGATGTGTGACTTCCTCTGTTTGAAACCAAGAACAGGCACATCCGAATTAACATGTCAAGATGTGCGAGCAAGCGTGACACAAGAAAGGTTGCCGTATAGTGCCACCAAGGAGAAGAAACTGTTGAATAAAGTTTTTTGTTGTTGTTTTAGGTGCACACAAAACTTTTCTAGCTCATTAACATTCTAATTTGCCAGACTGTTGCTGTCCTATGAGCATGACCTAAAATATCTTCATTTGTATTCTGAAGACGAACGAATGTCTCTAAGGTTTGGAACGTAATTAATAATATATATGATTTTTGGGTGAACTAACCCTTTGAGAGCTGGTAATGTATTGAAATTAAGACAGTAAACAACAAGTTTCAATATAGACCTGACTTAGACTGTACTTATGGACATAAACTACGAATCAGAGAAAAAGAGAATCAAATCAAATGCTTCTACGCCTCTCAAATAAGTCTCGCTTCGCCCTCCATCTCAGGTGGCAGCTCACAAACTCCAGTGAAATTCATCTCTTTCTCCTCCTTCCCGCCTTGACTTCTTGATTGAGACCCAGTGTCACCAGGTGAAGGATTGCTCTGTGACAGTGTGTCAGGTGATGTCCCAGCACGTCTTTCCTTCAGGTAGCCCTCCAGACGTTTCAGAATCAGCTTGGGGTTCTTCTTAGCAAAGGTCTCCACTTCTGTTTATCACAGAGGAGACAAAATACATTTTCAAGGTTTTTGCTTATAAGCAGAGCCAATTGCAGTTGCTATGTCTTAAAATTAAAAATAATGGTATAGTTCACCACACGATAAGTTTGCTTGTCACAATTCATTCATTAAAAAAAGTTAGAAAAAGGCACCTTTGAGTACATGGCCAGAGTCAGATATAGTTTTCCGCTGGCTTTTCCACAGTTGGTAGAGGTGGAGGAATGTTGCAACGTAAAAGTCATTTAGCACTGCCACGACCTGCTGCCTTCGGTTACACTCCCTAAGTCACATCACAAAGCATAGAAATGTCTTCTTGCAATGGGAAAAAGTGAAAAGGTTATGGCTAAAAAGAAAAACATTTCAAAGCATGAAAACTTTGACCTAATATTGCACAAAATAGCCAACATGTTCTGCTGAAGAACCCATAAGGAAGTTTTGACATGACTTACTTGGACAGAACTTCCTCCCTGAGAGCATGCAGAGCAATTCGAGTCATGTTGATTGACATCACACTGAATGGAAAATTCTGCAGGCGTTAACAATGAAAAGAAGCAGTTTTATTGTTGTTGAATGACTTTCATAAGGAGGATTTTATTACAGTGTTTATGGGACAATGTATATTCCATTTTCACCATGTCACTGATTTATTAAATGACATTTAAAAACAACAATTAAACTAATTTGAAGATGCCAATTAATTTGACCATTTGTGATTTTTTCATTAAGGTCCTTGTTTGATTTATCAATCTTTTAAAATATAAATTAAATAAACAGTTATTAAATTGTCAGTTATAAAAAAATTTAATGCATTGTTGTATTGCTTTATTAAATGACATTTAAAAACTAATTAAACAAGCACATTTAAATATTGCTATATATTTAAAATATGATTTATTTATATACATTATTGTGTTTAATTATTAAATTCTATGTTTAAGTGAATAGTACAAGTGTAAAAATAAAATACTGTATTTTAAAAATACTACAAAATACTTTTATAAGTAAGAATGAAATTTCTTCGCAGACCTTCTATCGATTCCTTCATCATTAAACTGACTTAGTGAAGTAAACAATGACTGACAGAAACAGCATTTCTCTGGGCAAGTTTCAGGCCTAATCCCAATTTTACCCCTTAGCCCTTCCCCTTACCCCTCGTTTTGCGCATTCACATCAAGGGGTAGGGACGTACCAATTCTCTTTAGCTTGAAGGCGTAGGGCTAAGGGAAAAGGGTGAACAGCCCTTCGAACAAAGATTTTTCAGGACCACACTCGAAACCAAGGGGTAAAAAAAATTCCCAGAATACGGAAGGAAGGAGATCCACAAATTAGAATTTTTTGTCATTATTATGAATTTTTATGACAAACATATGTTTTAATATATTCATAACCTTGTTTGTTTTTTACCGTCATGCTTTAAAAAAAATGCAAAAAAACCCCGCTACATTTCGCAATCTAAAATCCCTAATAATAACTCCTGTATAGTAGTCCCACAACAGTGTCTGCTGTAACATTAAGTGTTGTTTTCGTGTGTGTTTACATAGATGAATATGGCCACTGTGTAAATACTCAGTATAGTTACGATCTTATTGCCATATTAGATCGTTATGATAACACAATATATGCCTTCAGTGATTTCCTGAAGATAAATACCAAAAAAATAACACAACTGGAATAACTACAGCTGTCGCGATAGTCTGATCTCATAAGAGGCCAGAGATCAGAGATATGCTGTAGTGCTGCCCCAATTCTTAGGAGTAAATTTTGAAGCCCTTTTCCCTTAACCCTCAGTTGTAAGGGCCAAGGAGGTAGGGGTAAATATAGAATTGGGATTGGGCCTAAGGCCTTGTTTACACTAGAGTGTTTTAGTTTTAAAACGAAAATGATCCGCGTCCACACTAGCGTTTCTGAACAGCTCTGCATCTAAACCAAAACGACTGAAACGCACATCACGTGAACACAAACACATTCTGGTATGCGCTGCAGCTTATCTAGCCAGATGAGACCTGTGCTCATCGACTGCTCATCAAGAATCTCCCGCTGGATCTAATCTCACTATATTTGCTGAACGTGATATTTCATTCATCTTGTTGTCTTTATCTAACGAAATATTCCTCGACTTTGGTCTTTTGAATCTATTACTTGTTCTCAGGTAACGTGTTTTGGCTTGTTAATATAACCACGTACATTCTGTATATTGACTAATATAAATTCTGTATATTGACTGCACTTACAAGGAGAGGATGCGAGACCGAACTGTGTGTGTAGGCTACTAAATATTGAGGAAAAGCCCCAATCAGATAGGCGAATGTCTGCAGCACCGTCTCCGTTTTCAGATGTCTCCGTTTTCCTTCATCCACACTGAGACGGAGAAGGAGTGTTTTAGAATGAAAATGGCCTCTCCAGCATTTTCAAAACGCTCCGTTTTCGGCGATCTTAAACTCCGCCGTAGTGTGCACGGATGGCGAAACCGTAGCAAAACTTGTGCGTTTTAAAGCGAAAACGCATTAGTGTAAACAGGGCCTAAATCAGCTTCTCACCTCTTTCAACTCTACTCCTGTACATGAGGAGGTATTCATAAACCTTTGTTTCTCTTTCATTTTAGTATACATTTAGTACAAATTTCATACAGAAAGACCTGCCTTGAAGATGATCTCTTTAATCCCTGTAAAAACCATCTAATGCAGATAATGGGCTCTATTTTGACGGTCCATGCGCAGAGCGCAAAACGCAGGGCGCAAGCGCTTTTAGGGCGTGTCAGGACGCGTTTTTGCTAATTTAAGGACGGGAAATCTGCCTTGCACTGCGGCGCTTGTTCTAAAAGGGTTGAGTTTATTTTCTTAATGAGTTATAGGTGTGTTTTGAGAATAAACCAATTAGAATCTTATCTCCCATTCCCTTTAAGAGTCAGCTGCGTCGCGCCAAGAGCGCATTTGCTATTTACAGGATGCAAAGTAAGTCTAAGTGGAAAAAATTAGCATTTCACAAGCAAACAGTTAACAGTTTTTTAACAGAAAACTGTTAAACAGAGCATCTACTGCGTGAGAATGAGAGATAATGGATCACTTTCACTTTCGCTCTTGGATTAGAAAACCTTTACGCACAGACATCAATTAGTCTATAAATAAATACCTTTGTTTGTTAAGCGCAAATATTCATTTCAAAACTATTTCTAAATTCAGTTCTAATTTCCAGCAAACGAATAAATGAATAATAATAGCAAAATGTCAAATGTCAAAAACCTGAGTTATATCCTAAAACACATGCTGTGCCCCATATGGTCTAAAACCTGACAGGTGGGCAAATCTAAGCTTGTTTTTAATAAAACAAATATAAATATGGATATAATAATTAATACTGCTAATAATAATAACATTATACAAAAGCAAATTATTATGAATGAACTGAAAAAGCCTCCCGAGATGAAGAAGACATAAAATGAGCGCTAATGCATTTGCTATTTAAACAGCGTAGCGCAAAGCCTCAAAACGACTCTTGCACCAAGCTGAAACTACCAAAAGACTACTGCGCCATGCCTTGCGCCACACTGCGCCGGGTGTATGATAGGGCCCAATGAGTTGGAAAAGTGCTGTATCTCTTCATTATGTTTCCATCCATTGCGTGGCCAGTAAAATTGACAGCATCTTATAACATTATATTTACTTTACATTATTAACTTATATTTTACGAGGGTGTTATATGATGAGGTTATATATATATATTTTTTTTTACCTAATTATTTTTTTAAATTAAATCTATTTTTTTTGCATAGTTGAAAATCTTTTAGTCATTTCCATAAATCATGTTTTTTTTGCATTTGTACTCTTTAGTGCACAACATAAAACATGATATCTCGAAAACAAATTGCAATTAAACTTTTCATATGTATCCTGCTGCTGCTGTGTGACAGGAGTCTGGAGTTTGTGACCAGTCTGTATAGACTGGAGTATTATTAAATATTTGTGTCTCATATTCTGTATTGTATAATGGATATCTTTAAGCAGACATCTTTCCTCTTCATTAATTATGCAATGCACCTAAAGATCAACTACTGGCATTTGAATCAGCCAATTAAGTATTGTAGGAATCTCCACTGTAGGACTGTATTTGTATGTTGTTTGTCTTATTTTCTTGCCATCTACATCAGCAATCCATTCAAAACTAATGTTATTTGCCCAGTTTACTCATTCTCCCAGGTGTTTTTCAGTTCTTCTTTAACCAAAAGTGTCTAAGTTCTCCCAATTAGTGAACACCAGTACACCATCTTAAGGTGTTTTATATGTCTATACTTTCACTGCATTTCCACCTGCAGCACTGAGACTGATGATGTTCTGAATATCATATCCTGGACTGATATTTTATTTAATCTAATTTTTTTTAAGAAAAGGTGGCGAATTGTACACTACACAGGCATTACATATTTCTGGTCTTAGCATTGTGCAGTATACCATTTTTTATGATTGTTGACTTGCTCCCAAATATACCCACTCCATTTGTCAGTTATTTTCTTTAAGTGTGCATAATTTTCATCCATACTTCAAGCACTGGCCACCTTCTTAATCAATTTTCTGTTCTGATCCAAGCCTAGGTAATAACTGAGAAAGGCTGCATCTTTATGACGTCATCATGTAGACTTCTTACAAAGCATTTTACAGTATTTTAAAAACAAGACACTAAAGTATTTTCATACAAAATATTAAGCTAGTTTTACAAACCTTATCAAATACCGATTACAAAAGTACTATTTTGTATTTGAAATACATATACATGTATCATAAATACTGCCCATTTCTAGCTACGAGTGACCATTCAGACTGAAGTTTTCAGGAGAGCCTTGTGATAAGGCATACTACAAGTCATTATTTTTGTGCTATTTTATCACCTGGACATGATGCTGAGATAGTTTGAAGATGTCTCGAGCAAGTGGTAGTATCTCTGGATCCATAACAAAATAAAGAGTGTGCATCAGGCCCAGAAAACCAGTTCCTCTTAGATCAGTGGCAGGGTCTGAACCTGAAAGCACACAAAGACAAATATTAGTATAGCAGGTGACTACTCTTTCATGAACATAATAAAGTAGTAAAGTCTTTTTAAAATTGTTTATGGGATGTGCCTTCATTTTTCAAGGTACCTTGAAATCCTACATTTTCCCAGTGTGGGCCATAGCGGGGACTGTCTGCTCGTGTACAAGTCAGTTTCCGGTAGATGGTCTGGAGTACACGCATGTGCACTGACTGTCCATTATCCAGAGGACCTACAGAATGACAAACATTGCTTCCTAATAAACAGCCATTGTATATTACAAATATTGTTGATTAAATTTCTTTATATTAAGAAATTAAGTTTCCTCTTGATAAACCTGTGGTCCAATGGTCTTGATAAAATCCATGACTTATGAGCAACCAAGAAATAAGTTGGCTAAAGTTTGGCCAAAGCAGTATATCATGGGCATACAGGCTAATTTATTGGAGAAACAACAGTTGAAAAGTGAAAATATGTCCCTCGCATTTGTACAGTCATTTATTCTGATTATATATTTGATACTAAAAGTGTAAAATATTGTGACAAAATGAATGAACTCTAAAGAGTACTATGGTCTACAGCATGTCGGTCCTGGAGGGCCGGTGTCCTGCTGAGTTTAGCTCCAACTGCCAGGAAGGTTCTAGTATATCTAGCAAGAGCCTGATTAGATGATTAAGGTATGTTTGATTAGGGATAGAGCTAAACTCTCCAGGACACTGGCCCTCCAGGAACGAGTGTGGACACCCCTGGTCTACATTATTTGAAGTCTTGCAGACTCATTATTTTGTAGATAGCGATTTTGTAGATATTTTGTAAGGGCGAGAGAAAACATTGGTGCTCTGACTTGTAGCCCTTTCCAAAGCAGAGCACATTTCAGTAAGTTTTGCATAACATAATACTAAAAAAAAAATAATAATAATTTTTAACAGTTGTTATCGTTAATCTGCCAAAAATGCATCCTTTTGTTTAATGGTTAAACCAGGGGTGTCGAACTCAAGTTTCTAGAGGGCCGCAGCTCTGTACAGTTTAGTTCCAACTCTAATTAAACACACCTGTTATTACTAATTGAGTCCTTCAGGCTTGTTTGAAACCACAAGTGTTGAAGCAGGGTTTGAACTAACCTGTGTAGGGCATCAGCCTTTCAAGAACTGAGTTTGACACCCCTGGGTTAAACAACCATTATGAGCATCCCTAGCTGAAAAACAGGCTAACTGGAAAAAAACTCTCTGATACTCTGACAATCCACACAGAATTAATAAGCGTGCCCAGGGCTGCGTTTGATTGTATGTTCCAATTTTAAGTTTATTTAAGCTTGTATTATACTTGCTATGTATGTGGGACTCTCATTGTGAAAATTAAACAAGCTTAAGAGAAAAGGAGCCATTATTTGAATCAGGCAGCTAAGCATGACTATGGGGTATCTCTTTGTGTTATAATGTGGGATATAAGGATTCTAAATGTATTCAGCTACAATGTGTTTTTACTCATAACAATTAAACACAAAGTTAGGATTTTCTTTGCAAAACATTCTGTCAATTGCTTATAACAATCCTGTGGTCATGAACTAAAGAAAGAAAAAAAAGACAAAAATTGTAAAAATGGCAAAACTGTACATCTGTTCTGTAAAACAATTGACTTAGCTGTGGAACAGGCTAACAAGCTGGCAGATTTATGGGAAACCGATTTGAAAATATTATATATAGGCTACGTCTGGAGCCGTAGTTTGATCACAAAAACAATTGATAGCCTACCGTTAAATGCCCAGAATTAATTGGAGATAGCTACTGTACGTAGACCAATACTTTCTGGCTAGTGCAGCAATAGCGGACTGTGTTTAACTCGCTCAAAGTGAAGTCTATGATAAGCCAGTGTCTGTCAGCAGTCATGGGTGGGCCCTGTGCTAATGTGAAATCACATTGCACACATTTTGAAGACATCTAGTTTCCAAGAAAATGAAATGTGTCAGTATCGTGTGTCTATGTTATTTGATATTGTATACTTCTTAATGCATGCCTTATGGAATTCAGAAATCTCATGTTCACTATCAAAATAGTGCTTTTGGGATCCTGTTTATATCGGTGTACATCTCTTATAACATAAAAATGTAATTAAACTTCAGACATTAAACTTCGAATCCACGGATCCAATGATTAGCAAAATAAGACAAACAGGTATTGATATCCAGAGTTTCCTTCAAGAATAGTACATCAAGACTAGTAAAAAATAAAGCACAGAGCAAATTGACTTTAAAGTTGTATGTTAAACTCACATTGTGCAATGGCGAAAACTAAATCTCTCTCCTCTACAAGGTCTTTGTGTAGTCTTGGAGGACCGAACAGGAAATGGGAGATGGCAGCCAATCCAGTCCTGTGAATAGTGGGCTGAATGCCCTTCTGATTGAGAAACGAAGCAAGCACAAAAGTTCATGACAAACATACTCTTCTGTGCTGTGAATGTAGCCATAGTGTATATTCACTTAAAACAAGCTCACGAGAAGATCTCCAAGATCGGTGGTTTGAAAATGCTGCAGAGCTTCATTGAAGGAGATCAGCGGTGATGGCGCTTGATCCTCAGCAAAAACTATAAAAGACACATTGTTTACTGACCACAGACTGCACAATGTGTTCCTGATTAGTTCAGTCAAAAAACATATAATATCACTAAACATATAATTTCAATGATACAGATTAAGGGAGATTAAAAATATAAATTTAGTCAAATTTGATAAAATAACTAAATAACCTTGTTTTCCTTCTTATTTTCTATGTTCTTATTGCTTTCTATTGTTTGTTGTCAACTTTAAGTATTTTTGGTACATTTCATATATACTGTCATTGATTTAATAATAAGCCTGAACTGGTAAAAAGCGTTCCTAGTTGTGAACTGAAGTGATGAGAGAGAGCATGCAGGTGAGCAGACATGCATGCATCTGGACTGATCTCCACTCATCTTGAACATTGCAAAAAAAATGCTTTTCTTACTTAGATTTTTTGTCTTGTTTCTAGTCCAAATATCTAAAAACTCTTAAATCTAGAAGAATTTTCTAGACAAGCAAAATATGTTCTTGTTTTGAGAAATAATATGCCATTATTAAGTGAGTTTTTCCTTAAAACAAGCAAAATAATCCCCCAATGGAGTAAGCAAAATAATCTTACGACAAAAGATAAAACAAGATTAATTTGCTTACCCCATTGGCAGATTATTTTGCGTGTTTTAAGGAAAAACTCACTTAATAATGGCATATTATTTCTCAAAACAAGACAATATGTTTTGCTTGTCTAGAAAATGCTTCTTAATACAAAATTTTTTAGATATTTAGACTAGAAACAAGACAAAACATCTAAGCAAAAAAAAGCTTTTTTTGCAGTGAAACATCTTAGCAGTTTTTACAAGCAAGCAATTAAAAGAAAAAGCATGCTCTGATTTGAATGAGGATGGAGCTTCCTCAATATAAACATCCAAGCTTGTTGAGCCTTTAAAGTCACCAAAACACATTTTGACAGTTGAGCTGTTGACAGTCGTATACGTGTCCCACACTGCTAAAAACACTATTAGGACACCTATATTTCACTAAAAAGTGTAAATTGGTTGTTTTTGCGTTATTTCAAGCAAATTCGTACTTCCGGTTTGAAACGAATTTTTGTAGCTGCGTCACGACCATGACATAATAGCGTGTATTCTAGCATGCAGACTGGACGTCTGTGCCAGAGTGTGTCTTATTACGTCTTACAGTGTGCTGCATTAATGCATGAGTAAAGCTTGGTTCAAACCAATCAGCGCGCTCTATTGTGCAACTTCATTAATATTCATTATTGGCATAGTGTTTAGACGACAGAGACGCCACGTTGTGTTGGCAAAACAAGCGTCAAGTGTTTCTTTTATAGTTTGCTGCAGTTAAGTTTTGTTTTCATTTTCTCTCTGTGAGAGTGCAGCTGGAGTCACGTGTGGATTAAACTGTACGCGACGCTCGACAACAATAACTTACGTGTCTAAGGAGGATTATTGTTTACCTGAGAGCTGTTCTCATCTGCAAACGCTGAGATCCGGATTCGCTTGTAGTCTCCTCTTAATAAAGACGCGGCTCTAGTTGCTGGTGATTGTCCTGTCTCTACAGATTTGGTAAGTGAGCGACCAGTGCTCTTTGTTTATTCAGTTTGTTTAACCTTGTGTAGGATTTTCACCGCATTTTGTGACCGGAATAACACACGCGGCTTTCTGACGCTACCTGCTGTGTGCATCTAAGTTTCCGGGAAATGCAGAGTTTTTTTTTCTCTCATTCGCCGTGCGGTATCAAACAAATTTCCAGACAAATTTTTTCAATTACTTTCCCTACCGCTTGACCCCACTCTGTTAAGGCTACTTTATACTTCTGCGTCGAACACACAGGTATGGTGTGGCGCAGCCTTCATGCGCATACCCATGTTCCTGTCAAAAAAATTTAACTTTAAGTTGCAAGATTGCACTACACTGACGATGATTGGAAGCTTCAAGAAATTGAAAAGATTCAAGAAATGCACTGTTTTAAATATTATTTAAGTGTTATTCTATTTAGAAGATGCTTCTCATTACTTTTACTATTAAAAATTGAACATTGAATATAATAAATTTTGTTTCCAATAGTGCAGGTTATTTATTTTCACTTTTTTATAAGAAAAAAATACTGTTGGTTTTAGGCAATAAGTGTTTTACTTTCATTATTCAACATTGATGTTCAATAAATAATCATAGACAGTAGATCAGAGGTTCTCAAACTTTTTTCATCAAGTACCACCTCAGAAACAATTGTCCCTCCAAGTACCACCATTATAACCAGTGTTGAAATACAGTAGCGTAGTAGGCCCAGTAAAGCAGCTACAGCTCTGCACAGTTTAAAATTGTGGCAGATTAACTACTATTATAAATAATATTTATTATTATCAGCCACTTTAAATATTATCAATAGTTTGAACATTAAAACTGTACTGTGCTTATATGTACAAAAACCGAACAAACAAAATAAAATGTTAACGTTTAAATTAAAATGTGCTTTTAAAATATCGTTAAAAATGGTAGGCTACTGTACTTAAAAAGTAAAAAATAAAAAATGAAAAATCCTGTACTTAAATGTAAGTGTTACCTATAGTATCCTATTCATCAAAACCTGCAAGTGTTGCTTTGACCTCATAAATACAGGCTATATGTCATCTTATTCATGTAGAAACCATTTTTTATACATTTTCAAATATATGTTGCATGTACATATGACATATTGGATTCCTCTGCGTACCACTAGAAGGAAGCCCGCGTACCACTAGTGGTACACATACCACAGTTTGAGAACCACTGCAGTAGATAGTAGATAGTGTGTGTTTCCTTCAAGTATTTTAAAATCAAGTAATGCTCAATTCATTCAAAAATCTCTCACTTGTAATATTACTTGAACTAAATTCAAATATATTTGTAATATTTACTGTATAAAACTTGTTAAATACATATAATAATCGTTCATTAATCAAAATAGAGTTCAAATTTTTAATTAATTGAAATTTAGATTTTTAGACCAAATCGCCCAGCCCAACCACATGTTTCAGTTTTAAAACAGCGTTTTATCATCAATATGAGTGTTTTGTTTTTTTGTAGGCAAACTGTATGGTGCCTTGACTGTATGGTACCAGTAGTAAAATCGGTAATTTTTTGAAAAACAAGTAAAACGTTTAGTCTAAAAAGCAAACACATCCATATTTGGTATTAGTTTCTCTTTTCTTCGGTTCATTCATACATGTTCATTTACTTGTTGCCTTTTATTTTGTTAAAGCATTTTGCTAATGTTATCTGTTATTATTTCAGTCTGCATTTTAATTCAAATGTATCATCTAATAAGTAAATAAATAAATATAAAGAATCTCCATTTAGTATGTTCACTTGTTTGGCAGGCAAAATGTCACATTTGCCATGAGTATATGTACATAAACAGCAAATTTTGAACCGACATTTCCTGCGTGGCTCATTCATGATTGCAAAACGGCTGAATAAACTACATCAAATAATTTGAAAACTTTCTGGTTTATGCCGAGTTCAGACTGCATGATTTTCAAAGTAGTTGTGTCACAGATGTTTTCACACTGCATGACTATCTGGGCTAGCGTTTCGTCGCTGCTTTGTTTACACTGCAAGATGGATCGGCGACAGGGACAGGGATTTGTCGGCGATTTCTCAAAACCTGTTGGCGAGCCAAAATCGGGGCTAAAATCACGCAGTCTGAACTAGGCATTAGTCTTAATGTTCATATTTTTGAATGGGCCTCTGCTTCATCAGTGTCTGAGTCGCTGTCATTCATTGTGCTGTGCTTGGCCTTATCCGGATGTATCCTTTGGAAGTGGACATGACCAAACACTGCTTTACTTTAAGCATGGGACAGGAATTACCAGCTAATTTGCATTTAAAGGCACATGGGCAAAAAAAAACTGCTTGTCTTTTTCCTGACTCCAAAAATGTCATTTTCAACAGGGTATAATGAATTATTTAAAAAGTAGTTTAAGCTGAATCTTAAAACACATTCTGGGGATGTCAATGACTTCTATTACATCTTGTAAAAAGGGGTATAATAGCTGCTTTTGAACAGAAGCATGTCCTCCGCTTTCAATACAACACATACAATATATGTTAACTGCTGTCTAAATATAGACGTTCTGATGCAAAACATCTCTTATCATGAGATGTTGAAACCCCATTTTGTCTCTAACACAGATATCTTAATTTATCTATTTTGGCCAAGGAGGTGATGCCATCTCTCTAGGGTAGGGCGTTTGCTTAGTCATGGTGAGGCAATACACTTAGTATCCAGGCTGTCGTAATGACAATGTATCTGGTCTCACCTGGTTGGATGCTCTCAAGGGCATCCCACTCCTCTTGTGCTCGCTCCACCTCCAAGCTTACCTCTAGATGAACAAAAATCACAAACATACATACCAGTGTATATGCTGTTGTGCTATTAAAATGTTTTACAGCGACAAAGTCTTTACCTTCGGTTTTAGGCTCATTGCCTCCGGCTGCCAGAGACTGTAACAGCCCATTCTGTTTTAGTGCTGAGATCTACAAAACATACACAACATTTACTCTACCGTTGCTATTCATACCAGTCACAAAGAACTTAATGTGACTGTATAGTATACGATATGTATATATGAAATACTCACTGGTACAGGATTAAGATAAGTGTTGCCATTTTCTTTTATGCCATTAGCTGGAATCCATCCATTTTGGATCTACATAAAATAAACAAAAAAGCAACACAATGCAACTATAAGGCATGCATATAGTGACAAGGTCTGTTTTTTTTTTTTATTTAGCAGTGTGCTTACAGTTGTGCATTTGGAGTTGCCATTGGTTATAACCTCTGTGTGTTTACATTCAAGTGGAAAACTCTTCAAGCCCTAAAAGAAAAAGAAACACTGAGTGAGAATCTGAGGGAATAGGGTTCGCAAACATACATATACTGCACGTTATATAGGCAATTTTTTAGAGCATTATTATCACAAACAGAATGCAACATTTCAGTACAAGAATTTATTTTTTAGGTTTCATTTACAGAATATAAAATCTCTTAATGGCGGCCGAGAGAGAGAGTCAGATTTCCCAGATCGAGAGTAAGGGCCCTATCATACACCCGGCGCAGTGTGGCGCAAGGCGCGGCGCAATAGTCTTTTGGTAGTTTCAGCTTGGCGAAAGAGTCGTTTTGAGGCGTTGTGCTACGCTGTTTAAATAGCAAATGCATTAGCGCTCATTTGTGCGCCCAAAGGCATTCTGGTCTAAAAAGGAAGGCGTTCTGAGGCGCACTGCTGGCGCGTTGCTATTTTGAGAAACTATAACAGATTTTTCATTAGACCAAAACAAACCCGGTCTAGACTCCCGCGCAGAGTTGCGCCTCGCTTACGCACTGCTTAATACGCACAAGAGAGCAATAGGCAAATATCTTTACATATGAAAAAATTTAAATATTAAGGATATATGTATAGGATATAATAAGAATAGATATAGGATATAAATATAAAGGATTAAAATATTACAAAACATTATTTTCTAGCCTACATTAATATGAAAAATCACTGCTTTTATGTCTTCTTCATCTCGGGAGGCTTTTTCAGTTCATTCATAATAATTTGCTTTTGTATAATGTTATTATTATTAGCAGTATTATTTATTATATCCATATTTATATTTGTTTTATCAAAACAAGCTTAGATTTGCCTACCTGTCAGGTTTTAGACCATATGGGGCACAGCATGTGTTTTAGGATATAACTCAGGTTTTTGAGCTCATTTTGTTATTGTTGTTCATTTATTCGTTTGCTGGAAATTAGAACTGAATTTAGAAATAGTTTTTAAACAAATATTTGCACTTAACAAACAAAATTATCTATTTATAGACTAATTGATGTCTGTGCATAAAGGTTTCCCTATCCAAGAGCGAATGTAAAAGTAGATCGATTATCTCTCATTCTCACGCAGTAGATGCTCTGTTTAACAGTTTTCTGTTAAAAAACTGTTAACTGTTTGCTAGTGAAATGCTCATTTTTTTCCACTTAGACTTACTTTGCGTCCTGTAAATAGCGAATGCGCTCTAGGCGCGACGCAGGTGCTCTTAAAGGGAATGGAAGATGAGACTCTAATTGGTTTATTTTCAAAACACACCTATAACTCAATAAGAAAATAAACTCAACCTATTTAGACCATGTGCCACGGCGCAAAGCAGATTTTCCTGTCCTTAAATTAGCAAAAAATCGTTCTGACACGCCCTGAAAGCGTTTGCGCCCTGTGTTTTGCGCATGGACCGTCAAAATAGAGCCCTAAGAGTTAGGCATGTTTGAGCATTTTTGGCTTAACATATGCTGAGCTAATTGCTAAATAAATCTATTTTCTTATATTTTTTTTATCCCTTTTTACACAGAAGATGACAAAAAAATAAAGTAAATTTAAAGCATAGTCCTCAATTAAATACAAATGCATTACCCTGCCTATTAATAGTATATAAAAAAACAACAACAATAAAATGTGTCAAGGCTGGACTAGATAATAAACAGTGTTTGACCATTCATATTAAGCAATACCACCTACAGGGACAGCACCACCCAACGTTGTACGCAGGAAAGTAAAACTTAAGCACTCTCTTTAAGGTATACTTCAGGGAACAAGCCAAGAAATGTTATACCTTTTAATGTTTTGTACCTTTAGAGCTAAATAAACTAAGCCTACTAAGAGACGTTATCCAGAAATGAAGTCCTGGTTCACTATAAAACATGCTTACAAGCTATTTTATTTTTATTGACCTATTTATTCAAAATATACTGAAACAAACTGTAAATTTAAAATAGCATATTATTTAATTTCTTTTCAATTACTATGTTTGGGATTTAAATGGGTCCTATAATGCTTTTCATATTTGAATGCATTAGTGTGGCGTTTACGTTTGGATTAATAAAATGTACAAATCTCAAAGTCCACTGCAAAGGGAAATATTTCATTTTAAAAAGAATCTACTTCAAAAAACTACAACACTCAAAAAATATTTGTTGTTGCTTGTTAAAACTACTTATTTAAAATGAGTTAAACACAATTCTTGAGATTTTGTTAAGACAACTTTTTTGTTGTTGAACATAAAAGTTGTTTTATGTTCAATCCACTTAAATGTGTAAAAACTAGTAAGTATACTTAATTTATGTTGTCCCAACACAAATCGATTGTGTGGAATTCAGGATTTTTTTTTACATTGAATGAACAGCTCAATTAACCACAAGTGAAGAGTTCAGATGCTAAAACTTCTGAGTGCATCCCATCTATTTCAATTCAAATTGTTGGGAGGCAGAGAGAAGCGAAACAACAATAACGTCCCTCCCCCAATATGTCAGTGCAATTTTGTGCAAAGGTTCTGCACGATCCTCACCAATATATCCGGATCCTGATCTGATCCTGACCAATATACTCAGCTCAAACAATATTGTGAAATATTTGAGATTTTTTCGGTGTTTAAACATCTCAATATTCAAGACAAGCTTAATTGTAATTCCATTACATGTGTGAAAATAAGGTGAAACAAAATGTTGTGTCTAGCAGGACCACAATGCAACATATATATATATATATATATATATATATTTTTTTTTTTTTTTTTTTTTTTTTTCTTTGTATTTGAATCTACATGTAAAATTGTATATTTGTTAATTTTCGGCTAATGCGAGCGTTCACAGCAGCAACCTGCTTGTGAAAAATACACACTTAGAAAAAATACAAACAGTTCATCAAGGATGTACCACTGGATCGTGTCTCACTATTATTGTTAAATGTGATTTTTAATTAATCTTGTCTCTATCTACAACTCTTTGGTCTTTTGAATCCATCAAGTAACGACTCACAGTGTCAGTACACTGCTTCAATCTTTCACTTTTATACTTGTGCATAGTAATTTTAGTGAAAACCTCAGATACTGTTGGTTGGTTCCTGTTGGTTGTGCACCTTTTTTTTACCAACCAATTTGTTGACACCATTATAATGACACAGATCACTCTGCCTATTCATGCCAAAGTCCTGCGGAAAAAATTATTCACAGGTGGTAATTTGTGTGTAACCTATCTTTATTTATTTATGATTTGGTTATGGGTAAAACGAAGACCATGCGGGCCAGGTAGTAGAAACGGTAGGCTACAAATAATTTGTTATGAATTAGTTAATTATTCATAAATAATTAATTCACCTCCGCCTATGATGACAATACCATCGCCAATGATGGTACGATGCCAAATTGGTAGACATCACCCAACCCAACCCAACAATGAAAATTCAACATGATTTCAGAAAAACTTCTCAAGCATCCTGGCTGTTGGCCTGGCCTGACCCAATAAAAGCCCTGGTTCACACTAACCTGACTTTGGAAAAGTGGCTATAAGGTCTTTGTAAGATGGAGCTGAAGTTAAATGCCATAAAAAAGTCTTAAGTAAGCTTGAAGTAAAGTGTCATATTTTAAACATTAAATATCATTTTTAGATAGAATGTATTGATTGAAATATATTTGAAAAAATTATCATTTTAATATGATGATTTGTTGCTCTATTGTGATTAATTATAACAAAATGGATGACATATTCAATTCTAAACATAAAATAACATTTTAGATAAATAGATTGGTTTTATGTGTCAAGGATGAAAACAAATATTTAAATGGAAAAAAGTACATTGTTTTATTTATTTTCTTTATTAAATTATAATACTATATTTTGGTTTTTTACAAAAAAAAATTCAATAAATCACGCAGCACAACACTGATGATAGTCAAATAATGATCATGAGATCATGATATAAAATAATTTCCAAAGAATCGTGTATCACTGAAGACTGGAGAAAAAAAGCTAAAAGAAAAGAGAACCTGAGATGAGCTCAAGTAGAGGCTTTTAAGGATTTTAAGGATTACTTATCCTGTGACTCCATCTAGTGGACAGCTTAGAACTACAATCTTTTTACAAGGTGAAACGTCAGAGAGTCTATTAATTCAATTCAATTTATCTTTATTTCTATAGCACATTGAACATGGAAGTTCTTTGAGTAAGCATCAGTCCAGTTATTACAACATAAAAACAAATATAATACTACAATTCTTCATATATATAAAATGAAACAATAACAATAGTTTTTAAATTCTGAATGTATTTGCATCAGGCTGAAACAGCTTGATGAAAATGTATTTTTTTAGGGATTTTAGGGAGGTAAGGATTCGGTTTAGTGTCTCACTTTCCTTTAGTGTCCATATTAATACCAAATTAGCCACCTTCCTGTAAGTTAATCACTAATCTATATCACTATAGAGCTAATCAATATAAATGAGAAAGTTGTTCACCTTGATGAGAACTATATAGTGTGCAAATACCAAATTTGATGACTGTAGCTAAATCTGACCCCCACACTTAAGAAAAAAAGTGGCACTAGTGAGAGCATCAACCACACCCATTTCTGATCTTTTGCCAATGTCTGATGGCCTACAACTCTGATGTGCGTGTGATTTTTCTTTATAAAACTATGAGTATTTTCAGAGAACCAGAAGCACACAAGAAGACTTACAAGGTCTGATTTAAGATATCACAAAGTATTTTACATCTGCAGTGATTTGAACCAAATCAACATGAAATTATGATGATTTCAAAGCATTTTAAGTGACACGGATCCTGCTGTTGGTTAGTTGCGCTATAATCAAAACTCACAACAGGCACATGCATGTGATCAAAATACTTCAAACAAACTCCTGAAATGTTATCAAGATCAACAAATGCATGAGGAAGTTATTACACACTTCCTGTTTCCTATATCTTGCCATAATTCCATCGCTTCGCCACAGCCAAATCCTTTGAGAATCAGCAGCCAATTTAGAATCTTAATGTCTTGACTTCATG